GCTTATTCTGTATCATTATATACATCGATGCAACTGTTGTCGAAGTCCGTCACATAGACAGTTGGAAATAATTACTCAGCTGGGATTGACTCGTGTAATGTACAGTATCTCTCAAAACTGATTCGCCAGTACAATTTTTTGTTATTTTTTTAAGTAATAGGAGAAAAGCATTGACATAAAGTAAGAAATAATATTTTTCCTTCCAATACATATTTTCTTAGCTTTCCCTTTTCACTTATAAGGTATTTCTCCCGCTTTCTTATAGAATGCCTTCGTAGTGTACTGGATCAGCACGCTGCTCCAGAGGTCAGTGGTTCGATTTCCGGCGAAGGCGTAGCTTATTTTACATCACTCTTGCTTACAAAAAATACCTAATATTTGTACATATTAAATAAATTTGAAAAATTAACCAGTAAAGTTTTTAAAAAATGACTTACGCTGAAATGGAAAAAAAAAAATTTAAATGTTTCAAATTTTAAATTACGTCCAAAGGGACTTTTTATAAAGTTTTCTGTGTTACCTTTATTTATTAAATATCATGTTCTTTGCACTTAAACCATACAATTCAGTTCAATAGCAATGTCGCAAAATAATTTTAAACTGAGCATACCTTTAGAATTTCCGATACACAGTTCCGCGCGCTGAATATAAAAAAGTTTTTTTTTCCTCTGTAGAGTGTTGCCATTACTCGCTTTTAAATCGTTGAGTTTGATACTCGAAAATTCGTTAAGAGTTTACAAAATATGAAATCTATCATAAAACAAATTCCAAATTTCAAATTTGGTCTTCTACATGCCCATATTTGTAGGAGGATTACGTCATTCAAAATTCGACCGTTTTTTGATCACAATGCGAGAAATATACATACTTTTATGCAGATTTTTCATTATTTAATTTCTTCAAATGTAATGCAGGACTCTAACATTGGGAGGCAACAGTTTGAAAAATGATTTGCCTTTTATAGTATAGTGATTCAACACAAAATCTCAAAACGAAAATAATAGTCCTTCAGGGACAAAGCCCCTTTGGACTAAAAAGAGAAATAACACAAAATTAATCGGATATTTTCGTAATTTCTAATTCAAACCGTCTTCAATACATAAAGAAAGCGAAATTTTATGGAAATAGTTTGGATAAAGAAGCTAGACAAAAATCTAAAATCGTTTACTTTTATAATTCGAATTTTCTTTTTAATCCAATGTCATAATTTGCCCAGAAGGCCTATTAATTGCGTTGAAACACTATAAACGGCGAATCACTTTTCAAATTATTGCCACTAAATATTAGAGCGCTGTATTATATTTAAAGAAATTAAATAATGAAAAATCTGCATAACTGTATGCATGTTTCTCGCAGTGTAATAAAACAACGGTACCTAGAGACATCAAAATTTGACTAACGTAATCTTCCATAGATTATGGGCATGTGAAGCCCTAATTTTAGTTGGAAATTTATTTTATTATCGATTTCTTATTTTGTAACACTTCAAGGAGTTTTTGCTTAACAAACTAAACAATTTCAAAGTGAGCCATAGCAACACTGTACGGAATATATATATATATATATATATGTCCAGCGCGCGAGGCTGTGTGTCTGAAATTCTAAAGAAAAACTCATTTAAAAATTATTTTGCGATATTACTGTTGAACTGAATTTTAAGGTTTAAGTGCTGAGAACATGATATTTAATAAATAAAGGTAACCCAAAAAAACGTTAAAGAAAAAACCCCTTTGGAAATAATGTGAAATCTGAAAGTCTCTGAGATTTTTTTTTTATGAAGTTGATCTGCGGAGCAAAATTCTGTGAAGTTTTTAAATTAAAAATTTATTTATTGTTCCCTTTAGGAATTCTTCCGGTACATTTAAAAGCCAGTTTATTATAAAATAAATTTAGTAGATGCCTTATTTTAACATGTAAGCGGTTTAAGATATATTAAAAGAACTTGAACCCGCAAAAAAATATTCAAATTAAACGAGTAAGTAGCAAAAGTTTAGCAAAGTCGCATGCACATAAATTTAAGTCTCAGATTTATCAAAAATAGAGAATTTGCGAACGATCTAGCAACACTGCTTCCGGGTAATTACAGGTTCAGCTTGAGCTATCTGCTTGAAAATATTATATGTAGCTGAATATATCCCGGTTGCCGTCTAAACCTTGTTAATACCTTCTTTCTGTATAGATTAACTATGGATAAATTCATGTGACTTAATTAAGAGGATCTTAATTTGATAGTTGCACGTTCTAGTGCAAGTCGTCTAGGTATTCGTAGTTATTATCGGTAAGTGATCTATCATTTTAGTTTATTAGATTCTTGCTTTAGTTGTAACCTACCAAGAGTTGTCAAAGGAGATCTGTTGAATTTTAATCTCAGCTTCTGTAAGCTATTATAGTGTTACGTTTTGCTCCTCACGTTCGTTAAGGATTCGTGGATTTGGAGTGAATAACGACGACAGCGCTTTCATGGAATATCGAAACACACTTTATTGGCCAGTATTATTCTAGAAATCTCCAAAATCACGTTTACGGTCGATGAAGAACTACTTTAATCACCCTGAAACTGAATATCGAAACACACTTTATTGGCCAGTATTATTCTAGACATCTCCAAAATCACGTTTACGGTCGTTGAAGAACTACTTTAATCACCCTGAAACAATCAGCGACACAGCCTTCAGGCTATAACGGGGAAGACAGCTTCACGGAAAAGCACTAGAGTCCAGCTCCCGACTCTGCTCGGTCGTTCTCGGAACTCTACACACTCTCGAGACTCTCCACGCTGCAACTCGAGGTGCACTCGACAGTATAGTAGAGTACAGTTCCCGACTCGGTTAAGTCGTTCTCGGAGCTCAACACACTCAAAAATCAAACTCACGATACACTAAGAGACTCTCTCGATGCACTCGACGACCATCTCGACAGTAGGCTTCAAGACACTCGCTCACTGACTCTTAATTGACTCGACAAAGCACTCACTGACTGACTATCAACTCGATGGAGTCCGCACTGACTCGCGGTCGACTCGCCAGACGAGACACTGACCTATCAACTGACCATCAACTCGATGAACTCTGCGCTGTCTGACTCTCCGCGTACCGGCAGGGTTTATATAGTTTTTGACTAGTGTTAGAGACCATTCTGGGATAAACCAGTAAGAATTCGTTCCAGAAAGTCTATGGCATTTCTCCAAATGGGCGATTTCTCACCAAATCTGGCAACCCTGCCTACCCTTGCCATTTTCTGGCAGCCCTTAACCAGCTTTGCGGGGAAACTGTCTTACCACGCTGGACTTTTCGTAACAGTATACAGGGTGTTATGTCGTGGAGCAAAAACAATTTTACCTTACACCTGACTGCCACTGGCTCCGACATAGCAATGTGAATACTCTACAAACTTTGAAACACCATTCCAGAACTTTAAATGTTTATTTAATAGAATTCTATTCATATATTTGCAAGTTATACACTATAAACACAATAAACACAACTTGAACTTATCTACACCAGCGTGAATAAGCCTGGCATAATATTCTCAACTCGACGCAACTTTAGCTGGAAAAATACCGCAAATTCAAACACAAGGTTTCATCCTTTCCAACGCAGCTAATTTTCTAAATATATTTTACTAATATTCGCAGCGGGACAGCGGATTCATTTCATTCACCCAAAACTCAAATGTTTTAACGCAATAGTATCGCAAAGGAAACATCGACTCAAAATCAAAATATTAAAATCTATAGAATATCATCCGCTGTTGCCATTCCAGCACTGCCAAATTTTTATTCCTGCAGCTGTTGCCAGATTTATCCTCGCTGTATGTGATAGATACAACATCCTCCCACCCTGATTTTCTCAAAATCAGACATTGCACAAAATTTTCTAACTTTACGAATAAAACAAAACAGTACTATGTATTAGTTTAGAAAACACGTAAAAGAAACTCGGTTAACATACAATATATATGACAGATCATACTAAAATGAGATCAATAAAGAATAAACTTCCAATTAAAGTCATTGCTAAAGAAAAGAGGATATAAGTCCAAAACGTCTATATTGTACATTATTTCTAATGAGCATGTCCTTGGTTTTAAGAGTCTACCGTATCTAGATCTGTTTTCAGTTGCCAGAGTTCGCACAGGATCACTGGTAGTTGAAACTTCTAGTGGATACAGTTTTTTGATTGGTCTTACCAAATATCCACTGCTTGTTTTTACCTGTACCACTCTGGTAGCCCCATCTCTACTACTGAATATTTTTACAATTTTGCCCATTGGCCACATTACACGTTTTTTATTGTCTAGTTCTATGAGGACTACATCCCCCACCTTTAGATTTTGACATGCGCTTGCCTTCTGCACTAGTTGAGCCAGATATTCCTTGCGGAATCGACTTCTCAGTTCTTGTCTCAACGTATTGCAGTAATTTACACGCACATTCAGTTTCTGGGAATCGATGTAATCCAGATCTGGTACCCCCACTTGTTTTATGTCTTGAAAAAACAGGGAAGGTGTCAGAGGCACCAGCTCTTCCGAATCATCATAGATGTATGTTAAAGGACGGTTGTTTAATGTGGATTCAACATCACACAGGACGGTCAATAACTCCTCGAAATTCACCGACGATCTCCTTAGAATTCGCACGAGAAGAGTCTTGGTGGAACGAACTAAGCGCTCCCACCTTCCCCTCACCACGCAGCCGTAGGGGGGCTGAATTTCCATTTTATTTGAAAATACTCGTTTTCTGTGATTTTTCTCCAATCCAGGCATTTCAGAGCAGAGCATTGTCTGCTCCGGTAAATTTGGTTCCGTTATCTGAATACATTGTCGCAAGACGGCCTCGTCTGGCAATGAACCGTCTCAGAGCCTGTAGAAACGTTTCGGTACTCAGAGAGGTGACAGGCTCCAGGTGAATTGCCCAGTATAAGGCGCAGGTGAACAAGACGATCCAAGCTTTACTCTTTGGTCTCAGAAGTAAAGGTCCACAAAGATCGACTCCAGTTGTTTCAAAGACTGCCAGAATCTCTTATTCTGTCAAGGGGTAACTGGATCGGAGGGGTAGATAAAGCCTTAGCGGTAAATCTCCTACATACTACACATCGACTTACGCAAGATCTTATATTACGTTTCGACGAAATGATCCAGTATCGCTCTCTTAACTTAGCAGCTAATATCTGCACTCCCGCATGACAGTTCTTTTCATGATACTCTCTTATGAGGCATTCAGTTAAATAATGCTTGGACGGAAGCAACAGGGGATAAAGGAAGCAGAATTCATCATCACGTTCAATGATTTTAGTTTTAACTCTGAGGACTCCGTCGTTGTCTCTCACTACCAATAATCCATGGACGGAATCTCCTTTCTCTTGAAAGTGCTTCCTTTGCTCTAAACTCCACAAAAATGTTTCAGCGTTAGTTTTTTCGTCTACTGTTAAGGTATCCGAAGAATACGAGGGCTTCTTAAGGAGTTTATTAGTAAAGCGTAGAACCCAGCAGAATACTCGAACTATTTTAGAAAAACTCGAAAAACGTTTGTAATACTCAGAATCTTCTAATTTTATGTTCAAATTGACAATCACTCCTTTCTTAATTTCTGCTGCAACAGAATTTTCGTCTGGAGTAAACTCAAAGTCTGGCCATTCTTTCGGAGAGCTTTTCAGAAATTCAGGGCCCTCCCACCAATTGCATTGCCGCAAATGTTCAGGCGTACAGCCACGAGATGCCACATCTGCCGGATTCAAATTCCCAGGGATATGTCTCCAACATTCCTGCTTCGAGAATTCCCGAATCTCCTTTACTCTATTATTCACAAATACTCCCCAGTTTTCCTCTCGTTGTATCCAGCTAAGAGCCACAGTAGCGTCTGTCCAGTAATGTATCTTGACATAGACTAAGCACAGGGTTTCAAAAGTATACCTTGCCAAGCGTGCACCTAGAACACAGGCTAGCAACTCCAAACGCGGAATAGTTATTTTCTTTAAGGGCGATACCCGTGATTTTGCTATGACGAATTTCACGAAAACTTTGTCTTCTTCCTTACTTCGTAAGTAAATGGCAGTTGCATAAGCGGCTTGACTTGTATCGCAAAACACGTGTAGAGTCCATGAATCCTTAATTCCATGACCCATGCGACGAGGTAATTTAAGGCTGGAAAGACTAGGCAACCTTTCGTACCATCTCTCAAATCTTGTTTGAAGTTCATCTGGCTTATCCCAGGTCGATTTTGTTGCCAAAGCCTCTTGAAGAATTAATTTCGCAGGTAATATAACGGGCACAAAGAAACCTAGCGGGTCAAAAACAGCATGGATTAGAGACAATAGTCTCCTTTTTGATAAGTCTCTTTTAACGATTTCTCTTTGGACGGATATTGTAAGGCTGTCATCTTGTCGGTCCCACTGCAAGCCTAGAACTGCGGAGACTGGATCACTATCTTCAGCTGCTAGCTCTTGATCACCATATTGATTAAAAGTCCACATTCGAAGATCCATTTTGGCTTCTGCCATAATAGTAATCGACTGGCTCATAAAAACCTTTATCTCTTCGTTATCATCGACTGACGTGACACAATTGTCAACATAAAATGATTTGGCAAGTTTATTCGCAACAGCTTTGAATTCAGGTGAAACGTGGGACAAATGAAATGAAATCACAGCTGCCAATAAATAGGGGCTACTAGTTAACCCAAAAACAACCCTCTTGTGACGACGAAACACTTCAATTCTATTATTTACCCACCACAAAAACTTTAAGTAATTTTGATCCTCACGCTCTACCTCAATCTGTAAAAAGGCCCGCCTAATATCGGATGTTACACCAATTGCCTTTTCCCTAAACCGCATTAGAATGGCTGAGATTTCTTCTACAAGGTTTGGACCTTTTATCAAGCAATCATTTAGCGAAAGCGAACCATCGACTTTGCTCGACGCATCGAATACAGGCCTAATCTTGGCAGTGAGGCTACCTAATTTTATTACAGGATAGTGTGGTAAATAATGCCCTCCGTCGTTCTTTACTGATTTTGGGACAATTTCTATGGCATCTTGCGATAGCCATTCGTTAAATACTGTACTCATCAAATTTATTTAATTTTGTCAATTTTCTCGTAGTAGCAAAGAGCCCTCTTTCTGCAATATGCCAGTTAAAGGGAATATCAGGAGGAATTTTAGAGTCCAAGGTAAACTCACGCAATATCTACCATCTCCGGTTCTGCGAAGGCCCCTAAGAAACTGCTCTTTCGCTGCTTGATCTTCTGCGAACCTGGAAATGCTTTGGGCATCATCTGCAATGCCGATAGTTTCTAACTTCCACATAAAGGAAGGTTCCATGTCTTGAATAAGAAGATTAGTTACTAACATAGATGGGATAGATACCCTCAAACATAGATACCCTCAAAACTTTGGATAATCGTTCCTTTCGATTCCCCGCACAGCGTCCATCCCAGTTTAGTATTTATGGCTGTCAAACCACCCTCAAGCTGAATTAATGTTCTTTGAATGAATGTTCTTTGACAGCAAGTAGACTTGCTGCGCTAGCGATTGGTTTTTTGGTATTAAGTTTTACATCTTTAGAATGTTCATTGCGCGAAGTAGAAGAAATTTCAAATCCAGACCTAGCTAGTTTAACTCTCTGCTCTCCTTCGACCTCTTTACGCAAAAATTCCAGGAGATTTGTGAGACGTGATCCTTCTTACTGAACAAAACGCTTCTCTGCCATACTCGAAGCATCTCAGCAGACAGACAAGACACGACCATGGGATATAACCAGGAAACATTAGTATCCAGGGCTAAGCCCAAAGACTCTAGAGATGAGATGGGATTCGATTTTGTCAAACAGTGACGCTAACGGCAACCGATCCTTCCCTTGTGAGCGTACATTTTGGATAATTAATTTTAACAATTCCCTCACAGACGTCTCAGTTAAAATTTCCTTGTTTCCAAAACGCTCCTCAAACGCAGAAATGGCTTTCGGGTAATTTTCAGCCGTTAAAGGATAACTATCTATCAACTCACTAGCCCGAGTTCCGGGTAACATTGATTGAGCTAAATAATGGAATTTGTCAACGTCATTAAGCTCCTTATCCTCATGGATCTTTTTAAATTGACCCCAAAATGTAAGGTAACTTAATAATTGTCCATCGAATTTTTTAATTTGAATTTTCGGCAACTTGTACCGTTTTTCATTAGAAGCACTTATGCTACTATCCGTGTTAGAACTCGTATTGACACTACGGTCAACCGCATTATCTATATTCTCTTTCACCCGACGATTAAGCGTGATAAAACTCATCTGAATATTCTTCGCAGCCTATGACCTCTGTTTCCAGATCATCTTCAGCGGCTTTTCCCTTAATCATTGAATCTAGTATTTCTGAATCGCAAGATCTCAACTCAGCAATTATCATCTGCAACTTCAAAATTTTGTCTTTCAATACATCTCTATCCGCTTGAACATCTTTACAAAGTTCGGTTTTTAGAATCTTAGCCGTCCTAGTAAAGGCACTGCGTGCCGTTGCATGCTTTTTCTTCAACATATCAACATCCATTTTATCTTTAAATGCAGACCCACTTACAACTCAAAATCTGTAATGTTATCATCAATCCAAAAAATCCTCAAAAACGTCTTTACTCAGCAATTCCAAAAATATAACTCAATATAATAAAAATGAATAACAATATGTCATAACATTCAATACAGCAAAAACAAAATTATTTTGAATATCACAGTAGAAGATTTAACGCATAACCTTTTCTACGTTTACACTGCAGACGATTTAGCGCATAGCATTTCAATTGAAAATTGAAACTAATTCGAATACAAATACGAAATTCAATATTGCAGACGATAAAACGCATTACGTTTCCAAATAACACTTAAATTAATATTTACTTCTACAATAATATAATATAGCAAACACAATACTTTCTCAACTATATTAATATAATAATCCCAACACATTCGAATCAGGATCGCAATCCTGGCTGGCTCGCCATTTTGTTATGTCGTGGAGCAAAAACAATTTTACTTTACACCTGACTGCCACTGGCTCCGACATAGCAATGTGAATACTCTACATCTAAAATTTTAAAACACCATTCCAGAATTTTAAATGTTTATTTAATAGAATTCTATTCATATATTTGCAAGTTATACACTCTATAAACACAATAAACAAAATTTGAACTTATCTGCACCAGCGTGAATAAGCCTGGCATAATTTCTGAACTCGTCGCAACTTTAGGAGGTAAAATACCGCAAATTCAAACACAAGGTTTCATCCTTTCCAACGCAGCTAATTTTCTAAATATATTTTACTTATATCCGCAGCGGGGCAGCGCATTCCATTTCATTCACCCAAAACTCAAATGTTTTAACGCAATAGTATCGCAAAGGAAACATCGAGTCAAAATCAAAATATTATAATCTATAGAATATCATCCGCTGTTGCCATTCCAGCACTGCCAAGTTTTTCTTCCTGCAGCTGTTGCCAGACTTATCCTCGCTGTATGTGAGAGGTACAACACAGGGGATAACAAACGATATTTAGCAGGTAACACTTTGGGATGTAACATTACAAATATAAATAAGTATTAATGTTACGCCATCGAACATGTTTCGATATATTTACATAACTATCTATTTTTCTAATCTTTAGATTCAATGTATGGTGGTAGGCTTTTCAGCTCTTAATTGGAAACTATGAAGTTCTTAATTAACTTTTTTTTTCGTAATTAGTAAAAGACTCATCAAGGACAGTTTGATAAATCCATAAAGAACTTCTACACGTTTCAGAAATTTTGCAGCATTATATCTAATATATAATAGAAATTCAAAAAAAGTAATTAAAAGTAAATTATATGGAAAGATTTCTTATCATAAATTATTTTGAATTAATATATAGTACATATGTGGAATATACTTCAAAATTTTTGTACAGACTGAACTGGAGTCCAGGGGGGGTAACCCTTTGGATGAAGCAAGCCAGCATCCAATTTAAGAATATTATTGCGTGCGCAAGAGTTCGTAATAGATTGAATGCACAAGTCTATAATAGCTTAATGAAAATTTACTTTTATCAAAAGAAATATTAGACGCAAAATCGCGAAGCGAAAACAATAGTCTCTTACGGACAAAGCTCTTTTGGACTAAACAAATAGGAAAAGTAAGTTTAGAAAATATTCGATAATTAAATTTATTAATTTCTCTACCATTTTGAAATTTAAATTCTTTACAAAAATTAACATATGATTATATCAAATATTTGAATGAGAACTGATATGTAGATATTATATTATCAACAATATTAATCTATTGTCGTAAGAATTAATGGCTGCATAATTCGACAGAATGTTTCCATAAATTAAATGGAGCAATGCATAGGAATTGCTATATTTTCAATGCATTGAATAAATTGTTACATAAACCGAATTGAGTAAAACGAACTGTTTCAAATAACGAATGGACAAAAGCATAGAAATTGCTGCGTCGATATTACGAGCAACAGCATATATTGAAGAGCATTTATCAAGTACAAATATATTTCGCCTGTTCGTTTCTGAAATAATTATTTGATATATACCAGTTTCCTCTTCGCAAACCACAAATGTATAATATGTAATTTATTATCCCAGAGAGGTGTTCAGCCGAAAGGGCTCTTTGTCTATAAACGGCATTTTACCTCGTTTCACTTTCTGCTTTGATTCACTTTTCAGACTGTTGCCACCAAGTATTATCGCCGTGAATTATATTGAGGAAACTAAATAATGAAGAACCTGCATGAATGTTTCTCGCATTGTGGAAAAACGGCGGTACTTAGAGCCATCCCAATTTGAATAGCGTAGTCCTCTATCCGAACATGGACACTCGAAAGCCCGAACTTTGAATTTGTTTTATTTAACTGTTTCAAATTTTGTAAAACTTAAACGAATTTTCGATAAACAAACTCAACGATCTTAAAGCGAGCAATGATAACAGCGTACAAAAAAAAAAAAAAAAAAAAAAAAAAAAAAAAAAAAAAAAAATCCAGCGCGCGGGGCTGTGTATAAGAAATTCTAAAGGTACGCTCAATTTAATATTATTGCTTACGAACTCAACTGTTTTGTGTGTAACTGTTTTAAGTGTATTTGCTATTTTATGTTTTTGTATACTTCACAATTTTTAATTAAGATGTTTTGAATTTTTATATATTGTTGCGTGCATGCGGGTTCGTTTTAGATTGAATGCACAAGTCCAATAATAGATTAATAAAATTTATTTTTATCAAAAGAAATACATCAGAACTGTGGAATTTTCCTCAGAGATTTCCGTGCTCTCTTTCCGGGCTTAAATAGTTTTATACCGGCCACGAGATATTTATAGTACTTTCTGTTTCTTGAAATTACCGGAAATCTATAAGAGTGTGGAATTACGGTTACAGCTAACATAGTGGTCAATTACATTTATTCAGTTGCAATACTTATTACGGTGATTCAGAGATCGGACTAAAATGTCACGAAATTGTGGCGACTTTTCCCGATCTATCACCAATTTCGATTGACATCCGATTTAAACCCATTGTTTTCAACCAGATCCGTTTTCCCACATTCCCCCAAAGAAAAGAAAAGAAAGCATTGAGCTGGATGCATTTCCCCACATTATAACAACGAAAAACGCAAAGAATAAAAATAAAGACAACACAAAAACGAAATTCCTAACGAAATAAACAAACACGCCGATGTCCTTTTAACTTAGAGCTGTGATTCCGTTTGTTTACACCAATAAAACTACTTGTATCGTACAAGAAATGATTGATACAACGGCTCTCACAAAGAAAATTTTTGCACTATGCGAAGTGAAAACGAGTGCATTAGACACAGAGGGGACGTGAGCTACTCAGAATGCATACACGGAGCTGGCCACAAGCGAACGGTATACGTCAGCGCCCGTCCCTTTCGCCGTCATCATTGAGAGCGTGAACAACAATGATGAAATGTGATTATTACGGTCAGCTTTGGACAGCGTGGCTCCTATGGAAGTAAAAGATGATTATGAGAAATAGGCGCATAACGTTCAACAGGATGCAGGAAGAGACAGGGCTTGCGCAACGAACATTACAGGCGATTGTGCATGGTGATTTGGAGATGACAAATGTGTGTGCAAAGTGTGTGGACCTCGGACCTCGAACAGGACCTCGGACTACGCCTTTCTTGACAAGATGAAGGACGCAGTCAAGGGCCCATATGTTGAATCTTCAGAATTGCATGCAGTTGTCCATAGGTGGTGCACCAACACCCCCACAGACTGGTTTACCAAAACACTTCGGGACCTCTCAGCCAGATGGCGTAAGTGTAT